ATCAGCACAAGATAGCAGAAACATATGTAAATGTTGATGTTACACAGTCGGCACAGGTTGGTTCCCAGAAGCGCGGCCGTATCTTGTTCGTGTCACCTCGTGACCTGAATGAAATATTAAAAATGTTCCAGATAATGCTGTTTCATGCTATAAGCGACACGAAATTGTTATGTGAAACATCACGTTCTGTTCTCGATAAGATGGAAATCAATTCCGCAAGCGTTTCCTTTTCACACTACTGAAGTTAATCAAAGCCTTTCAGATGACTTCGAACTACTCCACTTTACAGAGTACAAATACAAATAGTGCTTATTTTTTTTAATAAATAAATTAAAAAAAACGTTAACTATTTTGAATCTGTTACCTTATTTTTTTATCATTTTATTTTATTATTTATAACACACGTGTCAGTCATTATGAATGTCGGAACGTATATATAAGAAATTTACATAAGGACCTTCACACGTGGAAATAAAACGCCCCCGACAATTATTACGGCATTTGATCAATGTTTTCACGTTCCTTTGACGGTGCCAGATTAGAAAGTTGGTCGGCGACATCAAACGAATGTAGCAACGATTTGGTTTGAGTCAGGCCGACAGACGACCGGGTTATCGCTATCGCTACCCACCGAATGTATAGGATCTTTAATAAAAAATCCTTTGAAGAAAAAAAAAAAGATTCCAACCATGTTGAATTTTGCGTTAGAACGTGCAAAATTCCGTTAACTCGGATGGGCGAGGTGAGGCGAGGTAATAGCGTTTCGCATCTTGACGTTATTTTTAAGTAACAACTGGAACGAGGTAATTCGACCTAATGGAAACGTGAAAGGGATGGTAAGTGAAATTTATTTTGAAAAATAAAACGACCGCTCACGTATTTTAACAAGAACGAGCCAGACGGACGGTAAAAAAAAAGCTGTTAACATTTAACCTCTAGTTTATAAGATTGTGACCGCAACAAGGGTTACGTCGGTCGCGCTACGTAACGCCTCCAGGACTATTATATTTCTAAATAATTACAAACACTACTACTGCTACTACTACTACACTATGTTTAGGGCAAGCATGTCATTGTTTGCCATCACGTCAGTCAACATTGAAGTTATCATGTATCTGAACCCTGATTTTGATGAATGCATATTTTAAACTAATTATTAATAGCGTCTTTTCACGGTTTGCTAATAAAAAGATAATGATACTTATAAGCATTAATTTGGTGTCGCATTTGGTGTATGTATTTCCACAATACGATCATATTTATCATACGTTTCCTAATTAACTTATAAATTAAAATTCAAATTGTGTAACAAAGTTTTGCTTTAGTCAAACTAAATAGTAAAACATAATGTTTCAAATGAAATGCGTTATACATTGAGCCCATAATATTAATATGAGGCGCGGCTCGTTTGTATGTTTGATTTACTTCCACGATATTACATCCATGTAGCGCATTCGTACCTATGTATGTATAGGTACGTTACATACAATTGTACTGGCTGCCGACGTCGAGCTCAATATGAAGCAATTACGAAAATGTTTCCATATTACACTCTTTATTCTAACGGCGAGTTTGCACTGCTGAAACATTCTGAACATGCTGAAACATAGTGTCCTTCTTGATGTGGAAAACATAGTGACGACATTATGAGATTGTTTGTATAGAGGCGGTTACAAACCTCCGATAAAATACAATATGTTACGCGTCTTCAGCGCAACTAATCCTTTCAGAAACTTTATGCGGTTTCAATTCAACATCACAGACTAACGCTTTCGTAAATTGAAACGTTTATTAAAGTTTAGGAAACTATATATCAGCTCTGGTGTATATCCATTAATTATAAACCAACAACAACTAAGACTGGGGCGTTAAGGGATAAGTTGGGGAGGTGCGACAACGATGGTCGTTACTTAGTGCTCCGGGACACGGGGACGCTGGGACGACGGGACGCCGGGCGCAGGGAGGCTGAGACACCGTAATCCGGGATGACTATCCGCGCAGCCAGCCAAAGCCCCGCTGAGCACTGGAAAATCCTCTAACCTGATTACAAGATATAGGTTATTATTTTGTGTGTACAGTCCCAAAGTCTCACAAGGGCTTTACGCCAAACATTGTGTGAATTAAGAAGGAAACGTAATTTTAAGTTCCAACAGTACGAAGAAAATCAGCAAGCTTTTATCTCAAAAGCAATAGTAAGAAAATGGTTCAGAATCTACAGAATGATTGTTGCGAACGCCATTCAATTTAGCTTTCAATGACCGTGTGCATAATGGCAAAAATCAAATAGGCACAAACTACCACCTCTTATAGCCAGTCAGTGTACCGCTGACGTTATATAGCGCCATCTCTGGGTAAAAAACAAACATGAAAATGTCATCCCCAGAAACTCTGTTAACAAGTTTGTTAAAATTAAAAAAATAATCTATATTAGATACAACAAAGCAAACAAAAATATGTGTTACATTGAAAATAACACATTGTGGGAATCATTGAAAGCTATACAAATCAAATTTAAACCGTGACGGCAGCAACAAAAACTGTTTGATCAATGTTTTTTTAGCTGGCGTTCAATTAGCGAAAACGAAACGTAACCGCGGCACATCAAACGAATGCGTTGGTGGGTCTCGCACCGGGCGCGCCGGGCCGGGCCGGACGGTGCGGTCGTGCGCTAATGTATGTAGCTGCAGCTTAGAGCCATTCCAACATTCCTAAATATATATATTATAAACATTATATAATGTTTATGTTGTATGTTTTATATCAAAGATTATTTTAAATAACTCATTAATATTTATTGGTTACTAAATGTATTTTACTGAGTTTAACCAGTAGGGAGAACTACCAAACTATAGTCACGAAGTTCAGAAGTACAGAACTAATCTTTCTGTTTTCATTAGCGCTATTATCATTACTTTACGTATTTATTACATACTACTACTAAATTGAGTTGATAATGGAAGCTACGACACTGAGCTATAGGACACGTTATTTACTTCGTTGTATCATCAAGAATTTATAAAAAAAATTTAAACATTTTCATAAATTGAAAACTGTGAATGAAAAATAAATCCGGCAGGTTTCCATACGAGGGCGTACTTGTCGGCCACTCGATATGTAAGTGTGAGAGGCAATCCGGAGCAGTCGTTACGGAGATCCAACCGCTAGACAACTCCCGCCATAAATTATGAAGTGACCGTATCCCCGCTAAGTTCGCTATCAAAGTCGGTGGCGGCGTTGAGTTATCGCCGCGTGTTCCTGAAGCTGCGGAGGGCGCGAGGCGGCCTTTCGATTGTTGTGCGCAGAATTGATATATTTGTGACATCTTGTCTACGTGTTTATTAAATGTTTCCAAGTTCTCTAAGCCCGATCTCTATTTGACAGTGAAATTACATTATTATATTATACTAGCAACGGAAAAACTAATTTAAAATTAGTATGTATATTGTCTTGTTACGAATCTTCGTTTAACGTTCTGCCGCTTTCCGCTGCCAAGAAGCGGCGTCTTGAAGACTCTTCCAGTTGATTGTGTTTGGATTTTAATGTCTGAAGGAAATTGAATTTGAAGATCCGCGCCAATATCAATGGATCAAGTCGTATCTAGAAAGCGATCTCATCCATTGTTCAAATACTATCTCGCTCCAGTTTTGCATCCAGCAGTTGGAACATCGATTTCATCGCTTCTGACTTCGCGACCTCATTCTAAATTAGTTTTGCTTCATAATTGATGTCGAGATTTATCTCTTCTAACTACTTTATGTGCAAATCTTAGCGTGGTATTACATGGATTTTATTGTGTTCACATATGTACGATTTGATTTTTATAGATTTATATTAGTAAGATGACACCGAAGTAAAATGTATGCATAATGACATTTAGTTATCCATCCATTTCAATTATGCTTCTTCCTTGTTAAATATTGTTTGCAAATACACAAGACTCAAGTTTATGTAAACTTGTAGCAGTGTACACCAAGACAACAAGTTAGGTTATTTGGTCGTTGTCGAATTGTTTTGTCTCGGTTGTAACTCCTCGGGAGCGACAGGAATGTCGTCGGCGGGCGGCCGGGCGGGGATGTGGCAATTAATTTGGTTAGTTAGCAGTGCTTCGGCGCCGCCGTGCATTGTTGGCCGGGCCGCCCGCCGCCGTCGCCGCGCCGCGCCACCTCGCCTCTCCTCGCCTCTCCTCGCTTCTCCTCGCCACGCAGCTGGAGACACTTTGTTAGACACAGTTACTCCAACTAGTTACAGTTGCAGAATGCCGCCATTTGCCCTGCGATTGTTTTAATTGTTTGCAGAATTTATGACATACTTTGTGTTATTCTGAAACTGAAACGCTTCGTGTTGATTCACTGAGAGTAAACAATAGCGTTATAGACAAATAATAAAATCTCATCTAATACTATTTGCATAACGATAAAAAACTTTTGGTAACACATTAATATATGTATCTTGAATTATAAAATAAAATAAAACTCAATCAAAAACTTCGCTCTATATTTATTTTGTAACTAACTGTATTTCCCATAGCAATAACACCAATATGAGTTGTTGGAATTATTGACAGTGTAAAATGTTTAGTGTCATATTTTAAGACGAAGATATCAATTTGTTAACGATACGAAATATAATCTGGGCGCATCTTCAGTGAGAAGATGAGTGGAGGAAGTGGTCACTGAAGGCCGCGTCGACTAGGAAGGTCTATGAATATTATATCACCGCTTCACTGAGATCGTCCTCGATGACAGCAAATTGCCAAGTGGCGCTTGTTAATTGCGCCACTTCTCTATTGAATACATCACAATTGCCAACATTTGGACATAGATTTAGTTTGCTAACAGAGTTATTGTTAACAGTGTTATGTATTTAAATAATAGTTTGGAGCTTATATTAATGCAACTCTATTTGACAAATGCCATTTAATTATTAGAATTAAATTATAAAATGTTCAGTACAGAACAAGAAAATAAAAAACTGTTGGAAATATCTTAGATTCCCGTTTAATTAGAAGAAGTACATTAGTGCGACATGTGTGCGCTTGAGTGCGAGAATTGCGAGAATGAATGAATGAAAGAGTGAGTGCTTGAAGTTGAGTGACGTCGCCCCCGCGCCGCTCGGCTAGGTGTCAAGTTTGGCGCAGACATCCTCCGGGGCCTTGAAGGCGATAGCCTTCAAGACAGGTCTTCTTCCGAGGAGGGTAGAAAGCATAGTCTGTTGAGTGCCCTTCGCACGGTCCCTTGAGAAGTGACGACGTCAGCGACACGAGGGACATCATCAGGACCAGGATACAACTTGTTGACTCGACCGAGGCGCCAACATAATGGAGGTGCATTGTCCTCCTTTACAAGGACAAGATCGTCGATCTTCAAATGTCTTGATTCAGCGCGCCACTTCGAACGTTGTTGTAGTTCCGCAATGTATTCGTTAGTCCAACGTTTCCAGAAGTGTTGCCTTATTTGCTCTAAGTGCTGAAACCTGCTGAGTCGATTGGCGTTGCAGTCCAGGAAGCTTGGTGACGGTAGCGAAGTAAGCGGCCTGCCAATCAAAAAGTGTGCCGGGGTGAGAGGTTGGAAATCATTAGGCGAGGGACTGAGGGGACACAAGGGTCGGCTGTTTAGGATAGCCTCGATTTGAGCAAACAAAGAAGTCAGCTCCTCAAAGGTTAAATGACTATTTCCTAAGACCCTACGAATGTGAAATTTAGCGGATTTTACTCCAGCCTCGGCTAAACCGTTGAAGTGAGGAGCGTATGCAGGTGAGAATTTAAAATCGATACCTCGAAGAGCTGCATAATCATGAATAGTGTCAATATTTGACTGTAAAAAAGATGAAATTTCTTTAGACGCGGCAACGAACTTCCTACCGTTGTCACAGTAAATTAGTTTAGGTAAACCTCTGCGAGCTATAAATCGTTTTAGTGTTAAAATAAAAGCATCCTTACTTAATTCGCTGACGGCTTCCAAGTGAACGCATTTGTAACGAAAGCATATAAATATACACAAATAACATTTAGTTATTTTACATCCGCGGCCCTTTCGATCACTGATCAAGAACGGTCCAGCGAAATCAGTACCAACGGTATTAAATGGAAAATCTGGCTCAACTCTTTCGTTAGGCATATCGCCCATTATGTTACTCATCGTCGTACCTTTGAAACGACGACAAACTAGACAGTTACGAGTTACCTTTCTTGCCAAGTTACGGCCACCAAGAGGCCAATAGCGGTCTCTAATTGAAGCTAGAACGTGTTGGGGTCCAGCGTGTAATAGACGCTCGTGTTCATTTTGAAATAAAAGTTTTGTCAATAAATGATCAGACTTTAGAATAATAGGGTGACGTTTGTTATAAGAATAGGCGGAAGAATCGATTCTACCTCCTGCTCGAAGCAGTCCATCCGAGTCAAGAAAAGGGTTTAAGGAAGAGAGAGATGACTTTGTTGAAAGAGATTTTTTAGACTTTAACCTAATAATTTCATTAGAAAAGGATTCGTTCTGAGCTTGGGTGATAATGAACTGTAGGGATTTATTGAGTTCATCCACGTCCAGACAGCCAGTTAGTTTATTGTTAGAATTACGGCAGTTGTGTAAAAATCTAATAACTCTTGCATAAGTACGTTGTAAGGTACGAAATTTAGAAAATCTTTTAAAATCTATCACAGGAGATGTCGTTATTATTTCCGCTGACAAAGTAGAAACTGTCTTCAACTCTGGCAAATCGAAAACGGGTGAAATTTCTTGAGGCCATAGATGATCGGGTTGCAAAAGAAAGGAAGGGCCATGCCACCAAAGATGACAACTTATTATATTTCGTGGATCTATACCTCGAGACGCGAGATCAGCGGGATTTTCGGTGGTAGGAACGTGACGCCATTGAGACAATTGAGTAAGTTCTCCTAAAGCAGCAACTCTGTTGGCAACGAAAGTTTTAGTTTTGTTGGGTGACCTTAGCCAGCCTAAGACCACGCTTGAGTCCGTCCAGTATATATGTCGATCGACAGAACGACGCAAGGCCTTAGTAACTGAATTGCTGAGTTGTGCTCCGAGCAACGCAGCACATAGTTCTAATCTTGGAATTGTAGTCGCCTTTAAGGGGGAAACTCGTGCCTTGGCGGTTATTAAATTAACTTGAACTTTATTATTTGAGTCAATAGATTTAATATAAATACAGGCTCCGTAGGCTTGCTGAGAAGCATCGCAAAAACAATGCATTTCAACTATTTTAGAATGTTGGATTAAAACTAGTCTTGGTACTCTGAGAGATGAAATATAGTGCAGTTGGTTAGAAAATTTAAGCCAAGTAGCAAAAATATCTTGAGGGATCTCGTCATCCCAGCCTATTTTAAGAAGCCATAGTTTTTGAATAAGAATTTTTGGTTTTATTGTACATAGGGATAGCAATCCAAGAGGGTCAAATATTTTAAATGTAGTAGATAAAATTGATCTTTTAGTAATGTTCTCGGGCGGGGAAAAATTAACTTGAAAATTTAATTCATCTGAAGAGGGACACCAACCGATACCCAGAGTGCTTGTAGCATTACTGATAATTAAGTTACCTTCTTCTGGATTTATCGAATCGGACATAAACAACGTAGACCTGACGTAGAACGAGCCGATGCATCGAACACGACACGTAATTTAGTTGACTCGCTCTTTTCTCTGATTACAGGATGATGGGGAAGAAAGAATGAATTAATAGGTTTAGGTATTTTAGATTCATTTAAGTGACCAAGCTCGGCATACTCGCGTATGAACTCAGAATAGGCTTTTTTAAGCTCTGGTTGCCTTCTAAACCGCGCTTCTAAATTTAAAAACCGTTTTTTGGCTAGTTGATAAGAATCACCTAAACAGTCTCGGTCATCACGGAGTGGTAAACTGACGCAAAATCGACCGTCACTTAAACGCGTAGTAGTGGAAAGGAAATGCTGTTCGCATAGTTTTTCCTCTTGTGTTAAGGGCTTGTTGTGCGGAAAACCTTCTAATTCCCAAAATCTTGACAAGGCCTCTTCAAAATTATAGTTTTCATGTTGATCTATAGATAAATTATTAGGAAAATTATCATCCTTTAGACAGAAATGACATATTGATAAATTATTTGGTATAGAATTTTTAGGTAAATTAGGTAGGGGGCCAGCAACGAGCCAACCAAGTTTAGAGCTACGTAGATTAGGGGTTTTGGTTTGGTCCCCTAGACGGCGCTGCTCTGAGCCTATTAGGTCCCAGAATAAGTCAGCGCCAATGAGCATATCAATAGGGGATGGTTCGTTAAAACTAGGATCCGCTAATTCAAGTTTAGGCAAATTTATGTCTTTGTAATCAAAAGATATCTTTGGCAAATTGCTGGATATTATAGGTAAAACTAAACAACTCATTGTTACGTTGAAAGAACTATTATTGGATTGTAATCGTAAAATGCATCTTTTCGTATTTAGGTTAACTTGAGCATTACCAATACCAAGTATATTAACGTTTGAAGGCTGAGGCGTCAAGTTTAATTTGTGTTGGACCGACTCGGTTATAAAAGAAGACTGACTCCCGCAGTCAAGTAAAGCTCGCACTGTAATAGATTTGTTCGTTATGGGATTAGATACTAAAACCTTGGCTGTACACAACAACACTTCAGTAGAAGACAAGACGGACATTACTACCGATTGATCAGGCGGAACGCTATTGCTAGAATTTTCACATTCTTTAATAATATGTAAAAGTGAATTATGCCGTTTTTTACAAGATCGACAAGAACCTGGAAGCTTGCAGTTGTCAGCAACATGACCTGACCTTAAACAATTTTTACATAACTTCAATAATGCTACTATTGAGTTCCTATCTTCTGGTGACTTGGCCTTAAATGAATAACATTCGTATAGGCGATGGTTACCCTTACAATGTGCACACTCGAAGGTTTTATTAGAATTAGAAACAGTGTCCTTAGAAGTAACGACAAAAGACTTAGTTTGCATCTTATTGTAAGGTGCAGTAGAATTTGTATATTTAATTTTATTTTGTTTTTCTTGTTTATTGCGATGGACAATCTCTAGAATATCAGCACGTTTTCTTAGGAATGTAAAGAAGTCACTAAGTGTCGGAATATCGGACAAATTATTCCTATGTTCCTCCCATTTAAAGGATGTGGCGCTGTCTAACTTTGCTGTGACTATATAAATTATTAAAACGTCCCACTTGTCTGTAGGCAGGCCCAGTGTACTGAGGGCGCGCAAGTTTTTAGTAATGTGATCAGTGATGAAACGGAGTGACTTGTCAGTCTCGCGGACGTATTCAAAATTAAAAAGTGATTTTAAATGATTGTTGATCAATTGTCTTTTGTTATCAAAGCGTTCACATAAGAGTTGCCAGGCTTGTGAATAATTTTGATCTGAAACTTCTAAGTTACTAATGACACGGGCGGCTTCACCTTCCAAGTAAGAATTAAGATAATGAAATTTGTGAATATTTTTAATTTTAGAGTTTTCATGAACTAAAGAACTAAATGTTTCTTTAAATTCCAACCACTTAAAATATCTTCCATCGAAACTGGGTATTTTTATTATAGGCAATTTAAACCCAAGCGTTTCATAATTATCATTATGTTGGCAGGAATTATTAGAATGGTTTGAAGAACTTGAATGAATTTCACAATTAGCTGACTTGGAAGTTGAATACGTTTTAATCATATTTTGAGCAAGAGAAATGTAGTGATCAAAGTCTTGCTCAAAAATATCGCGAGTAGTCAATTCTATTTCTTGATTCGAAATGTTTAAAAATTCTATTTGGTTTTGCAACTCTTCGAACTCGATAAACAAAGCTTCAATTCTAGATAATTTCATCGCAAGCTCAGTTAATTCTACATCTGAAATAGATTCTGAAGTTTTTAAATTATCGATAAAATTCTTAAATTTAGTTAAACGTCCTTTTATATTGCTACGTTTAATATTGAGAACCTTAAGTTCTCTAGATTCGGTTTCTGTAGACATTGCGATAAAATAAATAAAACTAATAAATGTATAAAAGTTGAATGTAGGTTAAAATTGCATACGATACGCTCCTCGCTTCGTAGTCAGCCGCAGCCTCGCGCGACTATCCGCAGACGCACGATTGATGTCACTGGAGTGAAGAGCACAGGTAGCTGCATACACGTAGACAAAGGGTGACGTCACGCGAGTCGACTGTTGCTTGTCCGATGCGCCGATAATGGCTGGAATTGATTTTATAAAACGATTGAAACAATTTTAGAATTAACTTAGAAATATAATGCTCCTTAGCGGTAAAAGCGCGTTTGTCTATTTGATCAAAGATGGGTTTGTATGAATATATGCAAAAATGGGCAAAACTAATTTGTTTTCAAGCTAAATTAAATGAAATAAGCTAATAAGCAGCGAGGAGCAATATAAATAAAGGCAAGTACGATGCCACGCAATGCAAGCGTGATTTTAGCGGTTATAGAATGAATGAATGAATCACAAAGAAATGCGCACGTGGGATGACTTTCAACTTTGATGATAGATGAATATAATAGCAATTAGATAATTTAAATTTGTTTAGTAATTAGGCACTCACTATAGCTAGATATAAGCGTAAAGCAAAAGGCAATTAGGAAAGTAGAAAAGGAACGGGCTCACTTGAGAAAGGCAGGAAGCAACAAAAGGAAAGCAGTTCCAATAGGCGATGCTGGCTGTCTTCCACGTAGGCGTGAGGCTCCTTCGGGATGTTGCTTGAAACGTAGACCGGCGTGAGGAAGTCTAGTTGCACGGGCTCCGATGTAGTCACAGCCCTTTGTAGTCCTCCAAGAAGGTGTAGAAGACTGGACGGATGCACGTGTCGATGACCTTTGTTTGTCCTTCGCTCGGCAAAATGGTTGCAACTTCGAAATTGTTGTTTCTGGCTTTTGCAGGTCCTGTCACGGTCGCCACTTTGTTCAGTACAGAACAAGAAAATAAAAAACTGTTGGAAATATCTTAGATTCCCGTTTAATTAGAAGAAGTACATTAGTGCGACATGTGTGCGCTTGAGTGCGAGAATTGCGAGAATGAATGAATGAAAGAGTGAGTGCTTGAAGTTGAGTGACGTCGCCCCCGCGCCGCTCGGCTAGGTGTCAAGTTTGGCGCAGACATAAAATGTCTTATCGTTTGATTCAGTTAACGGGTTAACGAATTACTTCGCAAGTAAAACTAACTATTTACTTAGTTGGTATTTAATAACAGTTCCTTGCTGCTTGCCGGAGAGTGGGTGGAACTCAATTTGCCAATGTAAATTGGTTGCTTTGAGATTTGTGCTGAATAAACAAAACTTGTCCTTACAAAATCCTATTAGTTCTCAGTGTATTAATATTACCTAGTTTATTATTTAGTAAACTTGTCTTTAACTTCAATAATCTTAATTGAAATATAACAGTACCTATATTAGTGTTTGCTTGTTGGATTTTTACAATAAGTTTTATTGTGCTAACAAGTATTAAACTTTGAAATTCAATTGTTCCTGATTTTTTAATCTGTTTTTGTCTTCTTCACTTAAGAAGCGAGCTTATCATCATCTCAAAGGCCGGCAACGCATCTGCGGTTCCTCTGGTATTGCTGATGGCCATGGGCGTCGTTGAACACCTCGGTGTTCCCGCTTCTCGTTTGCCCCCTTCTGTTATAAAAAAAAAACAGTCATCGTATTCAGAAGTAATATTTTCAATTTCACTTTTTTAATTTCAAATTTTTAACGAGTTGTCGTCAAATAACTTGTATTTGTATTAAAATAACGATTCAGTTTTACAGCATCTGCCCCCCCCCCCCGCCCAACCCCCCGCCCTCTTCACCCGCGCCACTGTCACACACACACACACACATGACAATTTAATTAACTCTGTAGTAGCGGATACATTCGCGACGATATTATTGAAAAATGCATGATTTGAACAAGTGCACTCCACAGCGGAAGTACATCGAGTGCTTAAAGCGATATGGTAACAATATTGTAACAATAACTTTGTTATACAATGTTATGTTGTTTTAACAATTTGCGTAAGTTGGCACATCATTGGCAGTTGCGCTGACGTCAGTGATCGCTACTCCGCGAATCTTAACACTTCGCCTAGGCATAATACTAACAGATGCCGTACACGACTTGCCGGTGTCTTATGCACGTTACTTTAGTATTTATATATTTTCATGCTTGCCTTTGAGTGAAACATAAGTCAATATGCTTTTATTCGCATCTCGGCACAAATGCTCTGTTGTTTGAAATTTAAATGATACATGTAGGGAGGCGGCGGGGCGGCGCGGTGCGGTGCGGCGTACGCTCGCGGCCCGCCCGTTCCCTGTCGCGCACAGTTTTGTGTTTGAAGACTTCTGTGATCGATCAAGCATTATTTATTGTTCAAACTGACAAACCACTCTGTTATATATTTCACACATATTTATTAAATATATGTAAATGTTATGTTAGAATATGTTTGAACAATTTGTAACTTGCTGTCGTTCACTTGTATCTGTTTGTACTTGTATCAAACACATTCTGTCATAATATCAAGATATTATATTAAAATGTGTTTGCTCGGAGATAAATTACACATTTAGAATTGAGACAAATATAGATATCATAATTAATTAAAATAGGAACAAACTTTACTCTCACATTCGTGTTTCAAAATGAGTAAACGTATACGTGTCATGGATCTCTTATACATTTAAAGACAAATAATAATTGACCGTTGATATATAATGGTATGTGGCAATTATCCCATCCTCAGGAGCTAGTGGCCACTTCATATGTTACCGCAGACGTTTGCCGGCAGCGACCCTTCACTCCACCCCGCCCCCCGCCCCCCGCTGCTGGATCATAATTGACGACAATTGAAGCACTTAATCACCTGTACTTAGGCTGGGGGGTGTTTCTAAGATAAATCAAATTCCGTCGTATTGATGGTTTTTAATGATGAAAGACGAACAATTTTTTTTAACTAAAAAAACTAACGCATGCGCACAAAATATTTTTCATATGACATACAAACAGTCAGTTTAATTAATTATATGAACTTTGTCTACTGTCGTTTGGACAGAATGTGCAACATTGAATTAGCTAACACAGTACAAGCGTTGTCGGATAATTTGCTCAATTTGCCGCTAAATCATTTCAGTAGGGTTAATTAAAAACCATATTTCATAAATGAATGTGAAATTATGCATTATATATTTAGTTTCACAATAGTTCTGCGTATGCTTAAAATAATTGTAATTACATACGTTCAATTTGAATTTGTGTTTAATTTGATTGTATCGTAATGCGATGTTTACTAGTTTTGCTGTGCGTTTTTATCACCGGCATATTGTAAACTTCATCAGATTACAATCAGGCGTAACTGACGACAAATTGTGAACTCTTCATCTTTCATTGTTTATTATTGTTTTCGAAACATTCTGTAACATAACCATTCCCAAGATTTCTTCGAAAATAAAACAGTCAGGAGCGAAGTAAATCTCAAAGGATCATAAATCCTTTATTGAGCGTTGTCCCAGAAAAGTTGCGTCGCGGAAGTGGGCGCTGAGTTATTGTGTGCAGTTTAGACGCCACTGAACGCCGAGCGCCGGCCAAAGGATGCCGAGCAGGGGACGCTGATTGTAACCTACATGATATACTGCTCAAATTGAAAACATTTCAAACAAATATATATAAAGATTTGGATGAAAACTTATTTCTTATGTTATAATACCGACTTTATACGTCAACTTTTATTTTCATTGCATTCAATTTGCAATTAGATGACATTAATGAATCAAAGTTCGGTCGCAACATGAAATTCATATCAAAAGTCAATGTAACAAGTACTTAGTAACAAATGGTTTCCTATTTAAACTTCGCCGCTCCGTACTCCTGTACCTAATGTTGCTCTAGTCAACTTAGCCATTCTGCAGTCTAAAGGCGGTTATAAGTTTAATTCTTCAATCAATTTTAAGCCTCAATAAATTTTATAGCAATCACAAACTTAATCTTGATTTTTTTTAGTTGTTTTATTCAATAACATTTGTGTTTATTATTTTTTTGCATAATGTATGAAGTGAAACATTATAACTATGTCTATTATCTTACAATGAATGCAAGTTTGGATGGTTCTAAATATCAAAACTAAAACAAAAGATAGCCTGAAGCAAGGGGGTTTTCTTACCAACAAATAGAATGAAATCGTTTTGAGAGCAAAGTTGCGGCGGAGAGGCAGCGACTGCGACATTAGTCAGCCGGCTGCGCCGCCGCCCGCGCCCCGACGCGGTGTTGGGCACGGTTACAATGGAGGCAACTCCACGACCGACGTCGCTTTTAAGTCGATTAGTTTGCATCACTCGCATACCATTGTGCTAACTATTGTAGTTCCCCGCCTCCGGCCTCGATCCCGCCGCCGCCCCGCCGCCTCTCCGCCGCCGCCCCGCCGCCGCCCAGCACTACACCGCACCACACCGGCTGCGCTCACTGCCACTTCACCAACTATCAATTTAGATACGTTACATTCGCCTGTAAACTGTATGTTTAAATGTGAGCAAAATTTATCCCCGAAAAATAAGCACTTTATAAACTGTATTGATTCTTACATGAGCATACGAAACTACGTACATCCTCACAATCATAAAATTATTTGCTACGTTCAAGAATGGATGGAAATTATCGGTATTCGCTCAAGTTCCCCTTTGTAAGTAAACAATTAGATTTGTGTACGAAATAGTTGGCCTTCATAACTAAACAAAACTTGCAATTAATTTAGGTTGAACAAAGGCAAACTATTCGCCACGCCGCAGCCGATGCGTCGAACGCACGGACTAACAAAGGGCATAACTTTATGCAGCAATTATTATTGTTTCATAGCCCCTCCCCCCGCCCGCCGCTACCGGACTGGGCATATCCATCGGCTGCTCTAATGGTCAGTGCAGTGCATAGCTCGCCTTTTGTTTACTTAAATAGTACGTATCGTATCGATATTATTTTATTAAAAATTGTTTTTAAATTATGCTTCTAATGTAGGTATATATATTTTAATTACTGCGGCATTTGTACTAAAAGGTTTTTAATGTAAACTGTACCAAAACTATAATTATTATTTACATTGTCGTATTACTAGATAAAGCTTATCGAGTTAAGGACTGAGCCATTAACAATAAAATCCAATCGTCATTCGGTTTGTTGAACCGGAAACTTTAGTTAATGCGTTACGTCGCTGATAATCCCAAACGACCCAAGTTTTTCCAAAGTCCTTACTCATATTACACGTTCAGAGATAGAAGTGACGCTCTCTGAGAGTCTATTCAGTTTTACGAGTTCAGATCTAGTGTCTGATCCTTACCCTGCCCGTCCCCTCCCCTTCCATTCCGTACATCGTAAAATGTTACAAGGCAATATCGTAATATAGTTTTAGGGAACAAGTCTAATTGTATGTTTATTTCTATATGTTTAACTAAGTTTTTATAAACTGTTGAAAATCTGTCCGAGATGATTTTAAAATTGTAAACTTTAAATGTGTTCATTGATCATTCAGTTTGTGTGTTTTGTGAGCAACAACTTTTATTTCCTAAACTCAATGTTCGAGGGAAATTGTAATAAAGCAATGTTATCCGTAAGTTTCCGTCAAACAATATAACTAAGCGTGACTTCACTTAACTATGATTTGTTAAACTCCGATAATCGTGCGCTAAACCGCAAGCCGCTCGCAGCTCGTATCACATAATCGCTATGATTAGATCTCACAATGAAACTTATTAAGAAGGTAATTCACCTCGCACATTGTGTGCGGTGTGCGGGTTGCGGGGTGCTTGTGCCGGCAGGGGAGGGTTGGCTTTGCAAATGAGCTCAGTGAATTTATCGGTGTTCGCTCATGACGCGGCCGTTTGCAAACGCAACTCCAACTTAATATTCGGAATTAGGTTAGAATAGCGAGTGTCGTGTTATGAATACGCAAATCGGAACACGTTTCGATGTCCCTAATTTAATCGTTTAATCTGCTTTGTATATAAAATCTTTTTAATTACAGCTATTTGAAATGATAGCGACCACTTAACACGGATTTCCAGGGATAGGAGTTCATTGTTTACTTAATATTTCTTGGTAAATTGAGCTAATTGGCATTTTTAAAGAGCGTGGCATGATGGTGACTAGCTTGTTAGTTGTACATTTGCAGTTGCACTAGGCCGACCCCGCGCTGCCACGTTACACTAACGCCGCCGGGTTATGTGGACGCAAATCAAACGTTCGCAGTGGTGCGTACTCCACGCCAATTTGATTCCATTAGTTTGTTTACTAGTTCCACCACATCTAACTTTCAAATAATCAGGTTTGCAATTTAACAGGTGTTACTATGAAATCTATTCAAATGGAAGATTTGCAGACTAATCTCTAATTAAAAATTAAATACCCATAGCACGTGTATAGTTTCCAGATAACTCTTTCTTGACACTAACTCTACACAAAAACAAAGCAAGTAACACACTCTTCATATCATTAATAAACCTCGAAAGCCTCGAATCCGACACAGAATTGTTTTTGCAACAGCTGCAGCTGCTTTTTGTAGTGAATAGTAAGTTAAATATCCTGTGAGATTTCCATGACAACACGACACGTACACACGCGTCTCTTACAATTTAACATTTAGATATGATCTTACCAGTATCGTCGCATGTTTACTGTATTTTAGAGGTAATTGTCATTTAGAGGTGGAGGATGTACGTGTTGTCTCATGTTCACGAGCACGCTGGGCCGCGGGGACGGTCTCATCACTATGAATATTACATTAAACTATTCGGAGATTGCAAGGGACAAGGTAACAGTGCTGCGGCGGTGAGGGGGGAGCGGCCAGCGGGGCGCGGGGCGGCTAGGGGAGTGGTAGCAGGATATTAAACTAAGCCTCGAGTACATTTATCATTTTCCAAATACACACCTGCTTGTAATTTAGAACAATTCTCACAGAGTTACATATGTATATAATATGTATATAACACAGCTTTTACTGGAATACAGATTTAACAAACTATTCATTTGTTTGAAGTGAGCAATTGTGCAATCAGCCGTATAGATGACGTATGATGACTGTGATTGCTATACCTCTATATACATAGTCATACAGCAGATACTGTATTTTGTTATCTGTTTACACATTTTAGTGTTTTACAAATAAATACTCGTATTATGATATTATTCCTCATACAATATTCGTGAAATTGCGACACAAAACCGGTTGTTATTTTAATTTAAATCGTCGGATAGAGTTGGTTAACGCTCGAATTAATTAAATATGAGTGAGAAAAGCAATCGCGGTGACTCACGTGTAGCGCTCGCAAATCTCATTCATTTGCAACGCCCTCGTTGTTACAATAAAATACAACAACATGTATCCCTTTTGTGTTGTACAAGTAAAATGTGCTGTTGGAAATCATTTTATATTACCTTTTTGTGAGGATGAGGTCTGTTTCTTACAGTCTCTCCTGTTATCAAAGGTTGATAATCAGTTTAGTATACATATATATGTATATATTTAGCACGGTGGAGTAGTCTCCAGACTAACTAGAATAGTAGTAGAAATCAATTTTGAATACATCTTTATAGCTAAGCAAATAAACAAGGTAATATTGTTTCAAACAATTGATAACATTTAATAGTGAGTACATACATATACCTTGTAAGGTCAACAATACGTATTTAGATATGTATGTACATACTCGTACTACGTAGTAAGACAACTGCGCGGAACTTCCCCGGAACTAACAGGTAAATATTAGTTGGAGGATAATAAATCTGTCTGAAGGCAAGGCAGAGTTTTGGCTTAATATCCTGTTATATTACACGCCCCCCTCCCTCCCGCACCCCCTTCCGTAGATCAGCAAAGTTGCTTCCCCCGTGCAATGTGCAGGGTGCGCGGTCGACGCCGACGTGCGACCTCATAATCTTGTGAGACGTTGCACTTGCACCGGGATGAATAATTACTAAAGTATTTAAATTTCCACCGCTTAAGACAAGGAAACTAAATGAGAGTTTAAAATTCCCATGGTTTATAACTAGGCTGTTCATAGATGCTTCTCTATTAGCGTATTGAAAATGTACAAATTATGAAGGAATGAATTACTATATGATATGAAACATAATATGACATCGACAGGCGCGCTCGTAAATTCAGTTCCAGGCAAATAAATGCCTAATTTTCCTCAAGTCGCTATAATTCTGAATAATGATAGCTCTAGTTCACATTCACACAGCGACAAATTATTTTCAATGGAGTCGCTGATAAATGACGTTCAATAAAGTGGCTGAGCGCAATATGGCGGTTCAGATAACAAACCCGAGACGACAGGAGGACTACATTATTTTAATTTTTTTCCTCCTACATTAAACCGTTTACGATTTTTCTTTGTAAATCGTTTTTATAAATCTGATGTTCTGATGCAACTTAACTAAATTTATTCATGATTTCTTAAACTTTTCACGTTTACAGAAAAATTATATTTTGATAAGTTCTTAAAAACAATCTTTTTTTAATTGTGGTATTCCAGTTAAGAACAAAAATTGACACAATTTGCTTGACGTGAGCAGAATTAATATTTCTAATACACGTTCAACAACATTACTGAATCTAAATTGAATAACTTCCGAAATTGATGGTTATTGTTTTGTTCAGCTGGAACTATCTATCACACCTCGTGCCTCGTTAACAAGAGCAATTTACATATTTGCGTACCTCCGACTCGCGTAATTAGATCCGGTGCGCGACGCTGCGCCGACCTCTCAACTAATACGGCTCACTAATGGCGGCCGGCGGCAAACTTCTCTATGTAATGTACACGTATTGCCCAAACAGCCCGCGGCCCTCGCAATATAAAACAGACCTATAACAACAAATAAACAAGGCCCGAGTCCCCCCGATCCGTTAGTTGGTGTAACTTGCTAACACAAACCGAAATAAATCAGCATCGCGTTTTGGTGTGACGTTAACGTGACGGCAGAAAGCGGGTCGCGACGTGATTGACGCGGCCGGAGACGGGCGCAGACAGCAACGGACGCTCGGCGTGAGCTACTTTAGATTTAAGCTAAATGGGTTAGAGTACAAAATACGAGTATATTCAATTCCGTTTATTATAAACTTGCGTGTTTTAAATTTTGGTACTTGGCGTAATATTTCTTTGAAATCTTATCATTCTCGTTTTGAGTCGAATTTAAAATATAACAAATATGTAGTTAACACAGTGCTAGCAATATTTGCGTTCAAAAAGCCATGACACGTCAGAGACACTGCGCAGAGCCGCACTCAAAGTGTGCGCTGCGTTGCTTCACTGCACTGACACAACGAATGCTCTGGACAACAGCTCAACATCAAAGAGGAGGCACGGGGGAGCGGGAGCACGGGGGCACTGGAGGCACTGTTTGGTTTGGCTCTTATCAGTCTTGTGATGCATCATGCGATCTGAACGTATGCATTGATTATCGCACGTCGCTTTGATGAAACTATTTTGGAAAGCCTGTGCATAGTGTCAGTCAGTCAAGGGGAACAATGAATACACAATTTGTACTTACTTCGTTGCTTTATATATAAATAAACTTGATCCACTGTTTGTAAACACTGTGTGACACTGAGAGGAAGAACTCGTGTTCGTCCCAAAAACATTTCAAGAGACATAAAAGATGTCTGTTCATTACGTATTTTTAAATAACATCTTCAAATTTCATCAAAAACAAAGGGCAAATGGAACAAATTATTTGTTGTCTGACATTTCATCTTATTTTCCTGAAAGTCTTGAAAGCTGCTTATCTTTTTTTAATATTTGTACCGAAATTTTATTATAAATAATTAAAAAAAGAAAACGAGATGATGTTATTACTGATATAGGATATTGTTTATTGTACGGGACTTTTGCAAATATTTCAGCCATTCTTATTATTATTGTAAGGGGCGGAGCCGCGCGCCAAATCTTTTATTTTATTATTAAAGTTTTGTATTTTTGGTAAGTGATTTGATATAGCAGCTTTTCGCTTCTAATTATTATAGTTGCGATCATTTAATTATGAAAAAAAACTGTATTTGGTTGTGATTCTGATCGGCTCCAGTTAGCCGCTCATCCATCACATGCGGCTGATGGGCGATTGATTAAGTCGCTATTGCGTCATTTTTGCTGCGGACAAGATAAATGACCAAAAGTTAGAAGCGACCGAATAGATCTGTCTAATAACATATTAAAAAAATCATATCTTTAATATTTTAATCATTCCACAATCCACTGTCTTCTGTTGTCAATATAACAAAATAAAATTTAATTTGTGTTATACTTTGTGTGTCCCTGCAAATATATCACATGAAACATTGTGAGATGAAATGAAACCTCTTTGCATACTTGGTAAGCTTAAATAGGCGAGGTCGTAGCTTGAGAGTTCAATCTGCTTGCCGGAGCCACTCACCGAAGTTTGTAACGACGTAAGCGACAGGAGTTTCGAGTCTTATCTCTCGAAAGTTAATTAAAATAGTTTGAGCACACAAAGAGCCCGCTCCGACTTAAAAAGGCTCCTGCGCTAGATCTTTGTCTGCAAACACAACTTGCGCCCGCCCCCCCTCCCCCCTCAGACCGCTCGCTCTGCCCGCGCCCCGCTGGCACACACCAGCTCCTTTCAATTTTACTTCTCTCAACATTCTTTTGTTTATTTGGAATTGCTTTAGCTCCTTAACGTCTCCTCGCCCTAGTACTGCTTACTTTAATTAGCTCGATAAGCCAAGTTAAAACATCAAAGTGATATTATTATTTGAGAAGAACTGAAACACAATAAACCAAGTTTATCAGTACTCTAAACACTAGCATGTTTTTACATTAACTCTACATATTATAATGAAAACAATTCGACACTAATTTAACGATAACCATTTGATTTGGACGAAATAGTTTTCAAAAGATATCGAACAGGTAAATTGATCAATGACAGTGTTTGAAAACTCGAGGAATCTTCCCATTCCAGTTTCAGTTCTTCACGTTTCTTTCCAGTTTCTTTTTACTTAGCCTAAAAAATATTTATACAACACGGTGTACTAGGTGTATCTTATATATAAAATTTTCGTGTCACAATTTTCGTTCCCATACTCCTCCGAAACGGGTTGACCGATTCTCATGAAATTTTGTGAACATATGGAGTAGGTCTGAGAGTTAGCCAACATCTATTTTTAATCACGCCCTACAACGATTTTATTAGCTTTATCTTAATTACAACCCGTGTTAACATTCAGATGATGTATTATAATACATCGCAAGACATGTCTTCAACAACAATTTTATTAAGCCTCTTAATTGTAATAGTTTAGAATAGACAAAACAAACTCCTCCCTAATTTGTTTCACCAATAAACACGACCCTTTATAATTTGTGGATCAATTCTCTTTCATGTTAACTATTTACATTTCAGTTATAGAGGATTGTATTACCTTACAGCGAAGCCTCGAGCTGATTGTCTGAGAATATCAAACAACCTCTTGTATCTTGTGTATTTTAACTTGTCTATATTGACAATATTAACCTATTTTACCAGAGTAAATATCATTAATATAATCTATCAATGCAGCACATTTATTTATATTCAATAAAATATATATTGGATGTTATAAGAACTAAGGTGTCAGGTCGTTTAGGTTATTTCCCCTTGTTGCAGCTATTCTTTAATAGAAAATTCGCTTGTTTCAGGCGCATGCGACGTGGCGGGCGGGGCGGGGTCAGTGAACTCGCTGCCGGGCGGGGGTAGCGCGCGCCTCGTGCCCACCTTCGACGCGGCCACGCCGCGCAACGTCACCGCGCTCGTCGGCAAATCCGCGTACCTCAGCTGCCGCGTGCGCAACCTCGGCAACAGAACGGTAAGTCCACTAACAACATCACTTCGACGTAAAATATTTTAAAACTTTGGGAAAAAGCCAGCAGCCGTCATCTGTGATTTTATCTCCGGTACCTACATTTAGAGTCGTAACGACTAAACCCTCCACTACTTTGCAGAACATTAGAGTATAATTTCCGATTCACGCAGAGTGAGGCGACGAGAACCGCTTTTAATTACTCGTAACAATTACAAGGGAGACGCCGCGTAGCGACAGACATTTGCATAGAGAGGAGGGGTGCTGGGATAAAGCCGCGCGGAGGGTTGCCAATTTCTCGTACTTTAAATCCTCTAACAACAGTTTAAAATGCCAACGCCAGAGGAAAATATAACGTGAGTGCGGCGAGGAGAGGCGAGGAGCGGAGAGGAGCGGCGAGGAGCGGCGAGGAGCGGCACTCAAACATCACGTTGAATCGCCGAGGTATATGAACAAATAAAATGAAGATGTACGTTGCTGCCAGCAGTAGGCCCAGTACTGTCAGTACCTAACGACCTATCCTGTCGAGAGTAAACCTTGGTTTTAGCCATTTTTATCAAAATTAGATATTTAGTACCAGATACAGCGTCGCCTTCAAGGCCTTGCATAGATTTCGCTCTAATCTCGAGCCATTTCTACAATTGATTTGCCAAGGACTTTTCAAAGTTGTATTCTGTAATGTTGGTCATAAAAATGCTAGCAAAATTTTGCTTTAAACGTTTCCAACTAGCGCACCTCATGTGAGCGTGACTGAGCAAACGCTAAACTGTTCTCACCTCCGCTTAATGAGGCAAAGGCAACCTCCAGATATAACCATTCCGCATTTCGCAACGTTCATACAATATCGGCATTATTTCTCTTTACATGTTCATTTAATATTCCTCCCCATAACAAGTAATATATATTCCATTCCAATTCTAAAATAATAATACAAAACATAGCATCGCGTACAATCAGGACCGGGTCGTTACCCGATTACCCGATTCATATACAAATAATTCAACAAAAACTAATACAAGTGACAAACATTAAGAGCCTAACAAGTTAATACCTCGAAAACACAGTAGCTAAATGTTCTCGAACGACACCGAATTAATCCCGGCTTAAGTTAAGTTTAAGTATAATTTGTATGCTCGTCGGCGATCAAAAATGTTACCAAGTTGCGATGCTTAGGGCCCATTCACACAAAGAGCGAGAAGGGCCGCTATACGGCGAATCCAATCTCTAACAAACTCGTAAGAATAAGATCGTGTGGAGATCTGCGGTTGGCGCTGTTGTTCTACACTGGGGCTAAAGACAAGGAAGCCAGGTTCCAAGCTGAACAGCGAACCACCTTAATGCCCTGCCGAAGCCGGAACCGGAGCCGGGGGGCGGAACGCTACTTTGCTATTTGCTTATGATAATTTCTCATTATGAATATTCATAAGCGTCGGTTGTATTTATTTGCCGCTACACCAGATACGTATATTTAGGATGGCTGCTTCATGTAATCATACGTCAACAATTGAGATCTTTTAGTATCGTCATAGATAATAATGTTATCGTTTTCAAAGATCATAACGTTAATAATAACAAACAAAATGCTTACGCAAACGTAATGGGTTTAGTTTTTTTTAGGTGTAAAGGTGAAAGATTTAATTTTGTACAGTTCGGTAGTTTGTTAAGATTTTGCTTCTAAAATACTCTAGGTAAGTACGTATGTTTGAAAATAAAAATCGGAATAGTTTCTCTTTGCACGCGACAACACAAAAGGACTCGCTGTTATGTTTCGCACGCTGCAATACTCTGTGACACAATTTTTATAAAATACCAAATAAAAGATACCTAAAATACAAAATACGTGAAAAGTAAAACTTTCTATTCTATAGACTTCTCTGTTCTCTCACGGTGGTCATCATGTGAACCGAGTCACAAGTCGCCACCAAACCCTTCCTAATCGCTGCCGTTTTTAACCACTAGATAGATCTATTTAGTCTTCTAGTCTGGAAGAGATATACACGAAATTCATATTAACTTTGATTACACGGCAACGTAATAAATAATGAACATAACCGTCGTTTCGTTTACATTATATGTTTATCATTTTAAATGAGGGGCGCTATTACTTAACGCGGCCGTTACGAAAAAGGCTCTAGCTAAGTTAGGTAAAGACACGTAGCCACAAGAAAAGGTACATACGAGCTGTTTAAATTAATGTTTAATGTTAACATACTACATTTATAAAATGTTCATTTTTTGATGGAAGCCAAATAGCATAGTAAGAACAGATTATTACTATCAAAGGTTTTTGTTATATGAATTTTAATTATTATACCAACATTTGCTAATTTGTTACGAATCATATTGTGGTACGTTTATTTATGTATTGAAAACAAATTGATTTATTACATATACGAGTACAAACAAATATTATAAAGTGAAAGCTATATCAATATAATACAGACGAGATAATCATTGCCTTTTAAAAACAATAACCCAATAAACGTCCGCCCCACGTGCGTTACAGTTAGGGCCAACTAAAATTAATTAAAATTACAAGTCGGTCCCTCACCCTGATAACACTAAACACTAATATTAATAGTAATTAGAGAGGGTTGATATCTTCTCGCAGCGTAGCGTAACGCAAGTCAGGGTTGGCGAAGCAGGGGTGTGTGTCTGTGTGGAGGGGGAGAAGGGTTCCGCTGCGGCTATAACCTAACATTTTGTCACTTAAACGACTCTTGTTATTATAACTTAGTGATACGAAGCTTCGCGACAAAACCTATTGTACACAACCTCGTTACATGCCTAATTCTGTTTAGTTTTATGACTGCGTAGATTTTGATAGAGAAGTAAGAAGAAAAGGCAAAAAAAAAATCACACGATTCATCACTATCAAGATAAAACATAAAATGCTTTGTGTTTTGTGTAATATTTTTGTTGCCGTAAATGATTCTGTCTGGTCGAAATTAATGAATAAATGCCTCGTTGACTGTTAATTGATATATCACCGACGTATTCCTTCGCAACGAACAAGATAATGAGCACCTCGATATTTATTATGTTGGTGTTTCGTGCGACCACAAAATAAAAAGCGACGATTCGTGAAAATTGATGCAGCGTATATATATATATATAACTAGCAACAACTAACAATGGTTCAGAAGAGAATTTATTTAAAACTATTGCTAGTTAGTTACCTACATATGTAATTGTTTTTATTGATAATATAGATTTTCTATACATATGTGATGAATTAGAAGTGTATTTCGTTCGATTTTAATAGAATTGTTCGGTCTTTTGTTACCATACTGAAAATTCAAAACAAACAATTGATCAATCGCAACGTTGTTTGAATATGAAGTACAAACAAGTTCATTTTATTTTCACTAACAATACAGTCGAAAGCTGAGGTAATCCAATCAACTAAATAAGGTTGTTTTTTTACGGAGTAATTGGGTATTATTACATTTAAGTAGAGACAAGGGTATTATTAGTTTTACGACGGCACTTCAAAATGCGGCATTCATATGTAAAACCGTTCACGTAATGCCACTTTACTTGATTTCCATTATGAAAATTGAGCGGAAAGCTTATGAAAATTATGTTCCTGCGTGCACTGTCACGTCACGGCTACGAATTTTTTTGCATGTAAATTAAGAATTTTTTGTACGAGTAAACTTTTTTTTAAACTATGTTTGACTTTTTAATTTATCAATGTCAATTTTTACAATGAATATTAAAATGTTTGATCCGACATTTAAGTTAGTTGTGTTACTATGTTGGTAATATGCTAGACAAAAATGTTTCGTTACAATTGCGATCCAGAAATACACAGTTTGTTTGTTGCCAGATTGTTTCCCGTTAATCCTATTATAATAAAAATAATAAATTTACACTTTTATGTGACAAAGACAAATAATTTCATAAATGATGCTTGTTTTTCTCTTTTAATTACACCTCTCGTGGTTTTTCTCTATCAAGTTATCGTTGTCTGACCAAAATCTCTTGTTTGCTGCAAAACTTTCTGTTATAAAATTGATTCATTATGCGTAAATTACATCTGTTTTTCAGTAAATTAATATTTGCGAAGGACAAAAAAATAACTTACGAAATCAATATGAATAATCGTGGAAAATTTTAACAATGAAGATGTTTGTACCTTTTGCTTTCATTTTTTAAGAAGTATATATCAAAGAAATACCTGCTGCAAAATTGTAATGATCTGGGGTCTGGTGGGCTCCGCGTAAAGAAAAGATTTTAGGTGAGCGGCAAAAGATCAGTGTAGTCTGCCACCTCGCGGCTGTTGAAGTAGTAAAATTGTTTCGTGACAACCAATTTCTTAATTTCTAGATCTTGCACTATGAGGGTGGGCTGTGTACCGTAGAAGGCACAGACGAGAGGTTCCCCGGGGAACCGCTTACAAATACTTTGGGTGATCAAAGGCGCACATTCTCTAAGTAATATGTATCCGAGGTAATTGACAAACAGACGGCAGAGGCTTTACGAACGGAACATTTCTTACTTTTCCAGTAGTTGTGAAATCTTATAAACGTGCTGGTTAAGTGAATTCGCTTTTATTTTATTATTTACACGTTTGATTTTATTGCTTTAGATAACACAACACACACGACACGATACCACTTATAAAAGTTTACTTGTTTTTGCAAAATACGATAATCTTATTATATTGTTGCTTAGCAGTTTCATTGTGTTATGTCAGATTTCAATGCAAACAATTGACATATAGCTGAGATCGATAAACGAGATGAGGTAAACAATTATTACGTAGGCTCTAATTCCGTTCGACAATTGCCGTTTAATCTAAATAGCAGGTGCTTCTGTTCTCTGAGAGTAGAGCATGGGGCACGGAGCATGTGGACAGTGGAGCACCGAATTCAGAGTTATGGCCACTTAGTACAACAGCCAATTTCACTGAAGCTATTTCGTTAATTGATTGCCGTCTCTTAACAATATTACGTACTCGACTAACTGTGTCATGCTCTTACATTGTTACTACTCATTGT